CATGGCTCGTGTGGTAAACTATGTTTAAATTAAGCAATGCGAAAAGCACCCAAGGTTAGGGTTGGGGTTAATGCTGTACGATGGCATTGGAATATGGTGGAGACGGTATGTACATGTACGGAAGAAAATGTCCACTAAAATTAGGCGGCTGAAGTCGCCTCACTGGCGGATTATATTACCGAAAAGTCGGAGCCTAGTTACCTACTGTGATAAGTTACCAACAGCCATGACAGGTCAAAAACTATCTCGCCCGGGTCGTCCCATAGCCGTCTTACCTTCCCTCTCCCTCTCTTTGATATACCAAGACTGAGGCAAGCACGCCACCCCGCCAGTACGCAATGAGGTCGGAGGGCAATACCATGCTCGGACTCCTACGGCGGCGAGTTCTTTGGCCGCTCGGTGCCCTGGTTCTCATTTTGATCGTTTTCACGCTACAACGTAGCCATTCCGGCCCCGAGTCCAGCGCCGCACATTTCCGATCCTTGGATAAAAGCGACTGCCTTGGACATGTTTTCAACTCGACGCTCGGGGTAAGTAATGCTTTGCATTGAACCGGTTATTTCCCACCTGTTCTGGACGGTGATGCCGCCATGGAAGTAAATTGACTGTCTCAATAATGCGTCTTGGCTAACGAGCAGCCGCCTCTTTTATTGCGAATCTATAGTTCGAGGATATCCTTGTTGTCGGCATGCCGTCCCGGACAGATCGTCGCGACGGTATGATACTCGGTGCGGCCCTTTCCCAGCTTAAAATTAACTTTGTCGATGGCGTGAGAGGCGAAGATGTCAACGAAAAGGCAATTCCGGTGCCCGAGGATCGAAATAATCATCTCAAGGGTCCCGTCTTGGGCTCCTGGCGTGGTCATATGAACGCCATCCACGAGTACGCGCTTATTTTTTTCTTGAACGCTTTTCTTTTATCGTGGGGCCCGTGTCTAACGTTTATGACCTCCGCACAGAGTCGTTCGAAGAAACTTATCGTCCGCGCTGATTATGGAAGACGATGTCGACTGGGATGTTAGGATTCGCGAACAGCTTCATGACTTTGCTGTTTCCATCCGAGCTCTCACCCAGCCATTGAGACGCCAACCACGCAAATACGCCGATCCCACGTATCCCAACCCAGTCGATGGTTCACCAAAAACGTTGCCAGATATGAACTTCTACAGCCTTCCTGATACCGTCCGACCTTTGATTTCCCCATATGGAGATAATTGGGACGTTCTTTGGCTTGGGCACTGCGGCATGCATTTTGTGTTTGAACATAGCAATCTCATAC